CCCATCCCACCCCCAACCCCACACTCACACCCCTTGTTCCAAAGCCTATTTTTCCAAAAAATTTCCCCCCAATTTTTCCAGCTCGTGAACCCAGTTTCAGCATCATTAACGCTCGCCTGGTCCACCCCTCCCTCCACCCACCCCTCCACCCTCGTCTTAATCAAGGGGCTGCTTCTTCTGCCCAGTTAGTTTTGCCTCCTTAATTTCTGATACCGCGATATCCCAGCTCGTTCACGGTAACCTCGCCTCCAGCTCATTATCTATTCCGTTATCACACTCCTCGACCATTTTTTCACCACGATTTTTCTTCTCCATATTTCACAATGAGACACTCCTGGCAGCAAAAAAGCACCAGGTAACCCCTTGTAACCCAGACGTCATGAGTTCAAATCTCACGAGAATAATATTGTATCTGGGTAGATTTTTGAATGAGTAACGTTTGCGTTTTGCACAGATATAATTTAATTCGCCAGGGAGGGAGATTTGTCGCAGCTTCTTTTACAACAGACTATGTTGCCAGTTAAATGCTGTTCTCTTGTTGTTGTTGTTGATATTGTTGTTGATATTGTTGTTGTTTTTGTTGTGTTGTTGTTGTTGTTGATGATAATGATGTTGTTGTTGCTGCTGTTGTTGTTGCTGTTGCTGTTATTGTTGCTACTGTTGTTGCTTATACTGTTGCTGTTGTTGTTTCTGTTATTGTTGCGGTTGCTACTGCTGCTGCTGCTGCTGCTGCTGCTGTTATTTTTGTTTGCTATAATCTCTGCTGTTGGTTTTATTTTGTTTTTGGCGCTGTTGCTGATCCAGCGATGTAGAGTTCTTGTCCTTTGATGTTATACTACACTGCATACATAATATGTATCATCTTAAGTTAATAATGAGGAAAGAAGACTAAAGTTTATGTTTTAGGTTCATTCTTCCTCCCAACCATGATCCCTCCCTCTTCCCTCTGTCTCTGTCTCTCTGTCTCTGTCTGTCTGTCAGTCAGTCTGTCTGTCTGTCTGTCTGTCTGTCTGACTGTCTGTGTGTCTGTCTGTCTGTTTGTCTGTCTGTCTTTCCCCCTCTCTCTCTTCCCCCCCTCTCTCTCTTTCTCTCTCTGCGTCTCTGTCTCTGTCTCACTCTTTTTTTCTCTCTCTTTCTTTCTGTCCCTCAGTCTCTCTTTCTCGCTGATGATAGAACAGGCATTTCTTTTGGGAGAGAATTCCCCATTTTAGGGGCTTGGGAAGAAAAAGCTCATTAGCCAACTTATTAGACCTTACAGTCCGCAAACTTCAATTATTGTCTTGATGATAAGTATGACTCTTGATGAAGATATTTAAGATATTATTATTGTGATGTCCTGTTGTTAATGCATTTCTGAGATAAAAGAGACAGTTTTGTTTGTAATTCTAGAGTTAACACCCAATATTCCATTTTATTTCTTTGGTCTGCTTTCAGGCCTCCTTAGTCCAGCATGTTTACTTCAAGGCCAACGACAGTGCGCAAAGCACCGAGTATCCTATTCGCACAATAGTCTCGGACAAGATTCAAGCCGGGAAAATCGTCTTCTGGACAAAAAAGCCATTTAAAGTCGACGCGATGCCCCCCTCCAGTAAACCTCTTACCTGCCACATTATCAAAGTACGGTATGATCTGGAAGTCAAAGTTGAAGTACCTTTCGGTTTCGACCTGGAAGTATCACTTCCGGTAACCATAGCAACACTTCCATTTCACTCTGAGGCGACAGGTGTTGTCTCTGGAGGTAAAAAAGCGAATGATCTGGGGTACGTAGAGTGTACTGACGGTGTTAGAAGTTTTCGTGATAGTGATGGAATGTTCGAGAATTTTCCTTTCACTCCCTACACTGCCTACGTGAACAACTACACTGCTCAGGTGGGCACAAATCAGAGCCTGGTAAAAAAGACAACTCCCTCAGGGGGAAAGACCGGTGCTGTTGGTATTACCGGTACTGCTGTTGCTGCTGGTGGTGCTGCTTCTGGTGGTACTGCTGCTGGTGCTGCTTCGAATGCCCAAACGATCAAAGGAAAAAACATGCAGGCCACAGGCAACTCTGGTCCGAGCGCTGCGGAAAAGGGACAAAATGGCGCGTCTTCTGCTGCAATTGGACAAAATATCGGAGCTCGTGCGAGCGGAAGTGCTGTCAAGGCGACATCTACAGACGAGACTTTGTTGAAACGTTTGAATAGCCACCAGAATAGTCAGTCTTCGCATTCGGCAGCACCACCGACGACGTCTGTCAATAGAACAGTTCCAACAGCCAATGAAAACAGTTCTGGTCGAGTCAATGTCGCCGTTCCCCAGGATGAACCACCAACATATGAGGAAGCCACTGGGACTACTTCATCGCCTGCTGCTGCACCGGTTAAACGGTCAGGAAAAGGTGCCATTTTGCTAGTTGGCTTCCCAGAAAAAACTGCAGAGAAGGTAAAGTCTTTCTTCTTGTCCTCGGACTCAAAGAATATAGCATCACACGGCGGTCAAATTTTATGTGTATGTGTGCGGCCCTTTTCTCGCGCTGAGGGTCTGCTCCCATGGCCGATGAAAACAGCTGTCGTCATGCTCTATTTCCCAAGCCAAAGAAAAGCCGAGGCCTGGTGGGAGACGGCAAAGACCAACTCACCAGAAATAACCCAAGACTTGATTGTTATGGTGGCAGAAGATATGAGTGGACAGAAGCCTAGCCCAGATCCACGCAACACGATGAACGCTGTTATTATTCAGCGCAGGGTCCTGAAAATGGATGACACGCTGAAAGCACTGTACACAGAGTACCAGAAAAAGATCCTCCCTACGATCAAAGGTAGACTTGTAGTAACTAGGGTGATCAGCCAGACGCTCAAGTTTCTTCAAGGGGACTGGTCGTCGTTAGAAAACAAAGACTTGTCCGCGAAGTACACTAGACGAGCCGAGGAGGAGAGTGCAGCAATTTATAAAGAGGAGTCACCTGTAAAGGCAGAGGCAGCATTCTCCTCGTCGTCGTCGCCAGCAGTGCCCTCCTCTGCCACTCACGCTTCCTCCTCACCACCATCATCACCATCTTCACCATCGCTACCAGCATCACCACTACCAAAAAGTTCAGAAGAGACATGTCCTAAAAAAGAACAAGCTTCATCTGAGACTACACTTGAGGAGAAAGATGAAATCAGCGTTGAGGAGAAAGATGAATCTTGCGTTGAGGAGAGAGATGAAAACAGTGAGAAGAAGAAAGATGAAAGCAATGTAAAGGAGAAAGCTGAGGATACCGCCGAAGCGAAAGCAGCAGATTATCTTGACGAGCCTGTGTTCAGACTTGTGTATAGCCAATATCGAGACGTGAATGATTATTTCTCTGATTTATCAGAGATTGTTGGAGACGCTGAGTTGATGGCTTGGAACGAGAAGCTCAAAAAGTACTACGCCCTAATGTTCTCCCTTGCATGCCCTACTAAAGGCTTCTAAAATTACCCCCCCCCCCCAAACCCTCGTTGTGAAATCAAGCGCTCGTCAGAATAATGGAATCGGAGAAATCAACATTTTTCCTGCAGATTTTGTAATTTTTATTGACTTTTTTTTGTCTCAACACTTTCTTCATCTAGGCTTATTTAAAAACACATTTTTGAGAGGGTTTTTACTGAAAAACAGTGATCAAAGGCACACAAATTAAAATTTGAAATTTCCAAGAACATCGAAACTTTGGAAGTCACTAAACTTTGGCGTCCATTTTATTGATAAATTTACCTCTAACACATCACTTCCTTCAACCGTAACTATTTCGACTTCTATTGAAGATAAATGGATATTTTTTTCATCAAAAGCAAGGCAAATGAACAGGTTTTAAGATTACATGAATCACTCCTTGTGGCCCAAAGCTGACAAGCGCTTAATTCCGCCGTGTTGTGTAACCGAAATGTGGCCCATCGTGTTTTTTTTAAATTTCCAAGTGTGATGTTGACTGCTAAAGGGCGATACAAGCTTTGCTCGACATCAGCTCAAGAGAACGATTCCAGCAACTAAGATAGGCTAACATTGACCTGTGTCGAATACCCGAGAATTCAGCAGGTCACTGTAGCTCAGAAGATGACATATTTTGTTTTCAAGTATTCTTTTCTCGTTTTGAGCCTTAGAAATAATAGCATCTGCTGTTTAAAAAAAAACTCATTCCCACATTTGGCATCGCTTGAAGCTGCGCTGTTTTGGAGAAGTTCTCTAAAAGAATCCCGACTTTGATGTTAATACATATTTTTTAAATTATTCTTTCCTATTACAAAACGATAAAAGTCCCCCCCCCCCCCAAATGCATATTAATATTATTGTGAAATATGCCTCATTTTTTTCTTCTGAATTGTGTATGATGGTTCGAAATGTGCCGCAACATTGACTTTTATGTGCTACTGATCGAACGTACGTGTCTGCTAGGTCCTTAGACAATTTTGTTAAAGCGGCAATTATTACATGTATCGTATCTCCCTCCGTCACATTTGGCCACTGTTCCCAGAAACCACATATCAGAAATTTTAAGACTCATAATTAGTTCCACGCACAATGATCATTGTTTGTTTTTCGTTTTGCTTTGTCGATTGTTATTGTGTTTATGTTACTATTTCAGGCTTTTTCACTTGTAGATGAGAAGGGGTCATACTCTTAATCTGTTGTCACTTGAAAGTTGAGTTTGTTGGACGCTGTTATTGTTTATTATATTATTGTCTACAGGCCTGCAGGTTGGCCATGTAGAGATGTAGCATTGGGAGTGTCAAATTTTAGTTTTCCAGCTTGCTTCTTTCACAGTCAGGGAAGAGCTGTTTGAATGCGCCTCCCATACATATATATATATATATATATATATATATATATATATTTATATATGTATATATATATATATTTATGTATTTATATATATATATGTATGTGTGTGTGTGTGTGTGTGTGTGTGTGTGTGTGTGTGTGTGTGTGTGTGTGTGTGTGTTCTGAGAGTAGAAAAAGTGTTAAACAGAATTTTAAAGAGATAGACAGAGAGAGAAAGAGAGAGAGAGAGAGAGAGAGAGAGAGAGAGAGAGAGAGAGAGAGCGAGAGACACAGAGAGAGATAGATAGAGATAGAGAGACAGAGAGACAGAGAGACAGAGACAGACAGACAGACAGACTGAGAAAAAGAAAGAAAGACAGACAGACAGACAAGCATACAGACAGACAAGCATACAGACAGATAGAGGAGTGACTAAATAAAATTTCCATTCAAAGATCAAGTAGTTCTGTTCACTTATTTTTAAAATAGCTTTCCACTCTCATTCATCGTCCTCGTCGCTGAGGATGCTTTTGTTGTTAATGCCTTCTGTGTACAGCACCTTACTCGTACAGAATAAGGCACGATGTACGTCACTTTAAAAAGCATTTGTGAGGCATTCGTGGTGAAATAAGGCGCAAGTCAAAATAATGAAATTAAAGAAATAATATGCATTTCTTTGGACGATGGGCAATATTTTTCAAATTTCTTTTTTTTTTTTTTGGCTCAACACATTTTATTACGTCCATTTGAAAACACATTTTTTGTCTGGATTTTACTTTAAAACATTGATTAAAGGCACACATAAAAATGAAAATATTCAGTTTCCAAGGACTCAGTCAATGGAAGTTACCAAACTTTAACGGCCATTTTCTGATTAATTTAATTTTACCACTGAAACCAGGCGACCCGGATGTTCTTCAATCGCAAATATTTTGACTTCTATTCAACACAGACGGACAAATGAACAGACTTTAAGATGATACCAATAACCCCATATGCCAAAAAAAAAATAAAAAAAATAACGAACGTCTGATTCTACTAGATTCTACGTCCTGACACAGGACGTGCATTCTGCCCAGTCGACAACGCTTGAAGAGCGTTATTCTCACACAGTTTTAAAGTCTGCTCTTTAAAAAAAATAATCTAAAACTTAAAATGGCAGGCCACAATTTTTCACAATAGAGAATATAACATTTGCAAATGTGTGTTTCTGATTTCTGAATGACGCTTCAAAATGTACCTTAACATTGTTACTGGATTGCTGCTGATCGGGCGTTATCTATCTATCTATCTATCTATCTATCTATCTATCTATCTATCTATCTATCTATCTGTCTATCTGCCTGTCTGTCTGTCAGTCTTTCTATCTATCTATCTATATATCTATATGTATGTGTGTGTGTGTATGTGTGTATGTGTGTGTGTGTGTGTGTGTGTGTGTGTGTGTGTGTGTGTGTGTATGTGTGTGTGTGTGTTTGTGTGTGTGTGTGTGTATTATGTCCTTAACTCATTCCAGTCGCACCCAAATCTGGCTGAAAGCACCCCGTGCCGCACTATTTTGACCATATTTCCACTGACTGTAGGAACAAAATGTCTTTCAAAACCCACAAAACCCATACATTTTTGTGATTGTGCTTATATCCCCTCTCAGAATATCAGGTTGATTTTTGTGTGAGACGATACAAACAAATATTACAGCTCATGAAATAACCCCTGTTGAGGGTAAAAAAAAACTTTTTTTCTCTCAAAATATTGTAGAACAGGGTGCTCCCATGACTAAAATTCATGATAACTAATAATAAAAACTTGTTGGAAATAAGTCTTTCTGCTGCAATCTTCTTTTATCTTTCCATAAATAACATTCAGTGAACTCATGATGAGTATGTTGACATATATGTCCCCTCTCTCCATCAAGCTTGAAAAGTTTCCGAGACTTCACTCAAATCTTGGAGCAATTATCATGTCACTGAATGTTATTATTAGAAACATGTAAGAAATTTGTTTTCTGAGTAACAGTAACATACAAACACATGGTAAGAAACTAACATAATGCTTACTGGAACTTAGAACACAAAGATTACACCATCTTTGAACTCTTAGAGGGCAGCGATGACTGCCGCATTACTGTATGCGGCACGTCCGGATCGCTATCTTACTCTGCCGCATACATGTATGCGGCACGTCCGGATCGCTATCTTACTCTGCCGCATACATGTATGCGGCACGTCCGGATCGCTATCTTACTCTGCCACATACATGTATGCGACACGTCCGGATCGCTATCTTACTCTGCCGCATACATGTATGCGGCACGTCCGGATCGCTATCTTACTCTGCCGCATACATGTATGCGGCACGTCCGGATCGCTATCTTACTCTGCCGCATACATGTATGCGGCACGACTGGAATGAGTTAAAGAGTTAAGGATGTGAATATATTTTTTAAAATGACACCTGTGTGGCATTAAAATGTTCTCACGTACACCTTATCTTACAGCGTTATACCCTCACGGGCTCAAAGTAAGTAAGGCATCATAAATATCTAATTATCTGTTAATCATCAAAGACCCGCTCTTGATAGATGGCATTTGTACAATGTAAATCCCCGCTCAACGGCAAGCTCTATGCTCTTCACAATCTATAATATTATTACCCCAGCAGACTGAACGCTAGGGTCCACCGGTACCGCTTCTAACACGCTGACAGTTAGTCCTTCTAAGCACGCTCTAGATCAGCTGAGACGACTTATTGTTTATTTGGGAGCAGGCCACGGACGGATCCCCCAGCTGGAACTGGAGAAGAACAAGTCCGTAAGTAGCCACCGTGCCTCCGATCTGAGGAAAGAAGTAAGAGGTCGGCTGAAGTGACGGCAATAGTACATTAATTGTTCAATTTATTAACATTCTTTGTCTCTGTCGAAAACAATTACAATTTTTTTATATAGATTTTAAAAAACAAATTACAAATCAAGAAAGGTACCAACAATTCTCCGATACATAATTCCTCCAAACTGCCCTTCCATCGATTATACAGCGGCAACAGATAATGAAAGTTGTAGGGGTGGCGTGCTTTAGGAAATTTACATATTATATACCGAGTTGCAAAAGTTCTGTCACACCCATTATATTACGATCATTTTTGGTATAGCGTAAGAATTGCAGTAAAAGTTTAAAGGTATGACTTGTGGGACTTATGAGATTCCTTGTGCCAGAGCAGACCAAAGAAATCATCAACCGGAAGTAGTAGGCCTACGTGGATAAAGTGTTGGTATTGTTTGTTTGTTTGTTTGTTTGTTTAGTATAGGGTTTTACGGCGCTCGCAACTGCATAAGGTCATATGAGCGCGCGGGACACACCTAATACTTTTTCGTTGGTAGGAAATTTTGAATTTTGCCCGGGTGGGGGCCGAAGCCTACTCTTATCGATTTTAGACCACCAAGGGATCTTTAACGTGCGCAACTTGCACACGGGCCCTCCGAGATTTTTTTGCCCTTGTCTGAGAAGGCTAGGTGTAGATTTTTTCTACCAGAAGATCAGGGGTGTGGCAGAAAGACAGCAGTTAGGAGGAGCCAAGGAGTAGCAGTAGAAAGGCTGCAGAAAGAGTCAGGAGCCCAGAGGAGGGGTCAAAGGAGGTGAGGGGGTGGGGGCAGAAAGTGGAAATGAAAGCAGACAACAGAACATTGTTAGAGATCAGGAAAAGATGTGAAAGGA